AGGATGGGCAATGCCAGAGGAGGAAGTTGCTTTGGACTCAGAAAGATTGAAACCCTGGCCCATAAGTTAAATGTAAGCTTCAGAAAAATGACTTAGCCCTCTAGGTCTCATTTCTTCACCTGTATAATAGAGATTCAGATGGCCACTCAATTACAGAATTCCTGTGGCTTGTTAATGTAAAGACACAATGCAAGGTTGGTGTACAATACATATTCAATGATGATCCTTGTGCTTGATTAATAGTTTAATTATAAAAAGTTTTTGCTTATATTAGAAAGGAGAAAATGGTCAGGAGAATGTATAAAATGTAGCTATCTGGTATATTAGTACATTTCAGGATATCCTTGAAATCTAGTAAACCACGCCTGCTTGCAAAGTGGTTCTTATTCAGTGCCTGTGATCAGGAGGAAGTGAAGGCCAGATCTGTGCTTTCATAACACATGAAAGCTCCATTTTCTCATAGGAACTTTGCCTTTCATAGCCAGTTCAGTGATGACAGAGCAAAATGTGGACCCATGACTGTGAACTTTTATATTTTCATAGGATTCTATAACTTCAGGCTTGCAGACAAATATTTAAGTTTTAAGAAGGAACTGCTTGGCTAGGCTGGGCTCTATTATTCTGAGGGTCACTGAAATCCATTCTCTGCATGTGCCCAATTAGCCTTCTAGGTCTTAAAAATGGATGTTCTGAGTATTAGCTGGGTAAGCACAGTGACACTACTCCAAAGGACACCTGAAAGTCTCTTTCCTCTATCCTGAACAGCTGATGTTAAAATTAATGAGCTAATAAATAAGTAAATACATTCTTGTATATATCATGAGTTAATGACTCATAAAGATACTTCTAGCTAGAGACACAATCACTATTGTTGCTAAATTTAGGGAGATGACCTCCGAGATTCTAAATTTTTAAGATCCAATGACAATTTCCTGAACCATGCAGGATTTCTTATGGTGGCTTTTGCCTGTTGGTGGTTTGTTTCTGTCCCTTCAAAGATCTAGACATGACCTAGCTTAGAGCTTTCTTGTAAATATGAATCACTCAGTTATATTCACTTTTTAAAGACTACACCAGTAGGGGGCGTGCTTCCTGGACTGGGGGCTCTTAGTTGAGGGGGATGAACTCCTGGGAGGAGTCACGGGATGACTGTCATATTTCTAGGAAAAGAACTGAGCTAGGACTGTTGTCTTACCTTCTGGCTATGAGGGACAATCCTAATATTAAGCAAAGGCATTCCCCCTGCACCAATAAAGCATGGAGATACACGGGCAGGGCCACAGTCCCTAGAGGCTTTCAGATTTCTTCTGCCAGCCATGCTTGATCTGGTGCTTAAAGGCCTTGAAAAAATGTACTTGTGCTTACATTGTCCCATCACTTACAGAGTGCTGGGCAAGTTCATGATAAAGTACTTGCAGGATTTGGAAATGCTAACTCCACTGAGCTGCTAGGAACAGGGACAGAAATAAAATAAGCCCTGACAACATTGATCCTGGGCCCCACAGATGAAAAATGCAGGGCGATGTAGCCAAAATGCGTGTCTGAAGTGCAGTCTGTCTGTGTGCAGCCTTCATTTACCAGAGGTCAAGAGCTGGCAGTACTGCCCCGAACTAGGTCAGCAGGCATCTCTGGTAACAGTGTGGACATTTTTCTTTATGTTTCAGGAAGCCCTCTCTAGTTTACCACAGTGGTCCACCCTTGCTGCTGCCTCAGCTTCCCCTCACGTACATGTCTGCCATACCACAGGGCTGTCCCTGGAGTAATTAAGAGTACAGCCACTTTGAGCCTCACGGTCTTCAGCTGCCGAGTGTGAACAAAGCCCCTTGTATGGATTGTTGTGAGATTCTCATGCAGCACTGCGGGGAACATACCAGCATGGGTTAGGCGCTTCGTGAGCTCCATTTGGTTCTCTTTCTTTTCTCTTTCCCTTTTTATTCTCACTTTCCCTTTTTGCTGCCCTATGTCTCATTCCTGTCCCTCTGTTTTCCTCTTTCTGTCATGATGCTTTGACATTTATTTGATCTGTGCTGCAAACTTTAAACAGGTTTCAGAGTAGATGGGAGATCTGGGTAATCCTGCCTTATTCTCAGGTGAAAGTTGTGCATTAAATGTGTCCTCTGGTTCCCCACAATTTTGGAGTTAAAAGAGACATATCAGACAGGTATAAAAATGACTGGACACTGAATCCATCATTCTCTGAGTTAAGATGAGGTTTATCACCCCACTCTGGATTAATCCAGAAGGAGATTGTAGATGGTGACTTTGCATGGACTTGCTTGGAGATCTTACATGGGGAAAAGTTAAACTCCTTCCCCAAGACAGTAGGACCCTCATAAAGAGGGGCATGGGCTAGGGATAAAATAGTGGCAAAGGAGTCATCAGAGACTTTTAAAAGTTAAAGAGGACATAGTGACAAGCTCTTCTGTTTTGGTTTATAGCTGAGGAGTCGGTGGCTTAGCAGGTTAAGGGATGTACTCAGGCCATGAGGGTATCTAGCGACAGGGACCTTTGCTTTACATGTCCAGTTTTCATTCCTTATCCTGCAGCCTCATTTACTGCAAGTTTCCAGAATAATTTCAGTGTCTGCGTTTGGAAAAACAAGAATTGAGCTGGGGATTATTAGGGGCAAAGGTTACATAAACAATGAAGAGATCGCTGAGTAGCAATCCTGACCTCAGCACTGTGAGAAGATCCAAGAGGGCACGGTCATGCTATTCATATGCCCCAGATGGAGGGATGGAGGGTGTGTTTCCATTCCTTGAGCTCTTGGCATAGTTCCTGATTTAGATACTTACCAGCTATGTACTTGGAAAATGCCATTTAATTTCCTTAAGCTTTACTTCCCTCATTTATAATGTAAAGATGATTATTTCTGAACTGCCTCCCTCAAAAGTTTACTATGCATTTCCAAATATAGATGATTTTAGCCTGACAAAAGTACTTAATGTACACCTACTTTGTGTAGGGTACATTATCCCAGGAACTAGATGAATCTGGCAGTGATATGCTCCATATGCTAAATATGCGACATCATGTTTGCATAAAGGAGTAGGTTATTATTATTACAGTCTAGAAAGCTGCCCTTTTCCCTGAAAGCAGGGGCTGGAGAGTTATCTATCTGCCCCTGTATTACCACATAGTGTGAGCTCCAGAATTTATTGTTCTCATAATTACAGTGACCAATAGTATATTACCCAAAGGCGATTGTTTAAACCAGCACTTCTGAAATCATTATCCGCATATATGTGGATGTATAAATGTGCATACAGGGGGCTGGGGATTTAGCTCAGTGGCACAGCGCCTGCCTGGCAAGTGCAAGGTCGTGAGTTCAATTCCTGGTACAGGAAAAACAACAACAACAAAAAAATAAATGTGCATACAGGAATTCCAAAGCAACCTACATCTTACTGTTGAGAAAGAGTTGTGCCCCATATGGAGAAGTATAGTGCAGAACACTAGAAGGCAAGGGCTGAATTTCTTCTTTTGCTTTCTCTCCTACTTGCTTTAATATTGTGAAGTGCTCACTTGATTTTTTTGAGTTTGAATTTGTTCTGCTCTACTTACTGAAAAGGAATCTTGTCCGGAGTACTCCAGAAGTTTCTGGTGAAGTCAGGATGGCAGCAGATTTGGAAGCATTTTTAAAACGTTGTCAGTGCTAGTGTAGGGAATTTCAAACATTCCCTCTGCAGATTCAATGATTGAGTGTGCTGAAATAATCTGACAATAGGCAGATTAAGAGGAGAAGAAGTGTGCAGATTTATTAACATGCAGAGGTACATGGGAGCCACACAGAATAGAAAAGCTGAAAAGGGCCTGTTGTCTGAGGCTTAAATGCACTCTCCTTAAGGACAGGAACATGGGGGCGGCAGGTGCCTTTAGAGAAGGAGTATGTGACATTTTGGGGCAATCAATGTGCCTGAGGAACAGAGAGTGGCCTATGACAGAGTCCCTCAGGACTGTAGGAGTGGTGCCTCAGTACAGTGTCTTCCTGGGTGAAGAGTTCAATCTTCCTTGGTTAAAGAAAGTGCAGTAAGGAGGAAGATGAGTGTGTTCTCTCACAGTCTTTAGGCAGACCTGGAAATTCCTAGAAATCCTTTCCAGACATTTGCCTCTTCTCAGATGCTCCCACTTTCAGGTCCAAAGTGACATAACATTTTCCAAGCCAAAACATGGAAAGAAAAAGGTTAGCAGCAGGTTTGCCATCTACTTTTGGCCTTTCCTTGGGACCCTTGGAAAAGAAAAGAGATGAATCAAACAAATTCCCTTGCAAATGTCTAGGAACCAGACTTCCCAGAAAACACACAAATAATATTCTCCAGCAGAAAGGTAAGGGAGAATCCTGTTGCAGGACACACCTAATCAGTTTCATTTATTTACTGTAACTAAACCTGAAATGCATGGGTTCATGGGACATAAACTGGAAACACTGGAAAATCTCAGTAACCTATGTATTTCTTTTTGTTAATTGCTGTGTCTTCCTGTTGCTTTTAAACTTTGAATTAAAAGTAAGCTTCATATGAGGTAGGATCAGTGATTGATGCTGAGGTGCATTTGTGCCATGACAGGTAAGACATAAACAGGTTTGCGTATAAACAGGAGATACTTTTTTGTAGCTGTAATGGCTCTTCTGATTAAGCTATGTGGAATATGAATTTCTCAAGCCTCTCATGGGAAGGTTGAGTCAGAACAAAACTAACATGGGACAGTATAGACATTTAGGTGGCTGTGTTTGGATCCCTTTCAGGGATCACTGCTCCTCTGCATCTTGTATGTCTTAGAAACTTTGAGTCAGAAGTAAATTTGATACTGACAGCTCAGTGGTTTGAATCTCATGTGTGTTATCTTTGTGCTTTCTTGGTGTCCACACAGATGACAAATTGCCATTATCTGATTTTTGACAGTCACTGAAGAAGCTTCTGTGAAACCGAATTTTGATCTTTAGGGAACAGATTCCATGTATCACCAAATATAAACAAATGATAAAGATAAATTCAGACTCACCTGCTTGTCTTCTAGAGCATAGGTCTAAGAAACAGGGTGGTAGCATCCTCTGGGATTTATTGATTCTGTAACAATCAAATAATCAGCAATAATCTCATGAGATAGCCCATTGATGACTTGGACCAGACAGAGGGTGAGGTCCACAGCTTGTCTTTAACTCCATAGCCAGAAGTATTGCACTGATCGTTTTTACTGTTAAATTTCCCCCTCCCAACTAGTCCTCATCAACCCAAATTGAATTTGCAGTCACTTCTGATGAGTGTTGGGACAATAGCATCCTGCACCATCACTTTCCTGTTGCCTGTCATTGATTTTGACATACAGGTGTCATCCAAAGAGCAGCTGGACTGAAATGAGCCTGGACACCCACTGAAGTGTTCTGTCCCTCGGCCCCTCTTTCCACACACTGTCCTTTGCCATTTTGAAAACCAAACGATGGAGACACAGTCACATGCAGGAGATAGATATTCTCTTTCATCTAAGTGAACAGAGAAATCAACCCAAAAAGGTAAGAAAGAAAGATTTTATCTTCTTGGAACCTACAAAGGCTCACTTTTGCCAACCCCTGACAAAGAGGGTTTGGAAACAATGGTTGCCCATGTTGACTGCAGAATTACATAGGGTTTTTTTTTTTTTTAAATACTATACCTAAATGTCATATTTAATTTAGTCTACAACCCTAGACTAAATTAGAATTTCTGAGAGTGTGGTCCAGGCATGCCATTTCTGAATTGTTTCGTGGGTAATTCTAATGGGTAGTTATAGTTGCAAGCCACTGAGGTAGGATTCTGTAGTCATTTGTTATGCTCCTTATAAACAGGTAGGAAGTACATTCCAGGCACAAAATGTGTCAGGGCTAAAAGAGTTGCTACTGTGAGACTGGCTGCATCCAATGGCATTCCAGCTGCAGACCAGAATATAAAGTCAGCTCGCATACAAAATAACTTCTTGCAATGCTTAGGGAATAGGTCCTGAGAAGACATTTTCTGGTGAGCATGTGCTTAATAACCTGCATCCACTGATGAACCAGAGAAACATCCTGATTGGATTTCTCCCTTTTCAAGTTTATCAATTTGGGAAGCATATTAATATTTTTACCACTTAACAGAATGACACACAAGTGGCACTTTCTAAGAAAGCGTGAAATCTATATCTTGTCAGGACTGAGACCTTTCCCACTCAGAGCTGACACCTCTGTTCTAAAAAGAAAAAGCCCCGAATTCATACTTTATTCTAGAATTTCTGAACTCTGAAGTCAACCGGATCACTGTAAGGACCCAAGTGGGAGACATATTTGTAGTCAATGTCTGCACTTAAGGAATTTCTCCCTGCATAATTTTCCTCTTGAGGATGATAGAATGAGGTCCACTTTAATTAAATGCGTAGGGAACACTAATCCACTTTGAAAAGCACCACTAATCCACTTATTGGTGGCCAAGCCATGTAGATACTAAAGGGACTTTCAAAGGAACAGGCGTGAGAGCAACATCAGTTGCTGGAAACATTCACAGCCCAAACATGCACTTTCTTGTGTGTATCCTTCATGGCCAGTGGCTACTGACCCATCCAAAGCAGGTCCATTATACCCTGCCTCACTTGGGGCTGTTTTCACTGGGGATTATGTACAGAATCTAAACAGAGAGTGATAAGCAAAGGAAAGTCAGAACTTGTGGATCTATGTACAGTTTGGTTCCTGCGATCAGTTGTACATTAGCTCAGTCCCCTGTTAATAAACTTTTGTGTGTATACTCCAAACTCCATGTTATTTCTGTACCTATTTCTGTGAATTTGCATTTCAGTTCCTAAATACTAAAGATAGACCCATCACAAATTATGCTCTTATAGAATATAATTGTTTAGGAAATGTGTATTTTCAGCAGAGCAATTAAAAATTATATCACCTTCAATCTGATTGGCAAAACACTTGAACTGTCTCAAAAATATTCCATGGGGAACATTAAAAATACTGCAAAAATACAAGTCCCATCCCTGATCAAGTTTAGAATCTGACTGTGAATGTCTCAGTGATCCATTCACCAACCAACCATTCAAACAAACAAAGAGTGCCTCATATGATTCTGACAGACTCCTAGGCTGCATTTGGCAATCAATCATGTGCTCATTTAGGCTGAAGTGGGGAGAATAAACTAACTTTTATTGTATTACTGGTACATTCACTCTTATCATTCATAATGATTTTATAAGGTGGGGATTATTATGTTCATTTTATACTTTAGAAAACTGTCCCACAGTCACACAACTACCAAACCCAGAGTTGCCTTGAAGCTGAATCTGAGGAGAATAAAGTAACAAATTAAACACACACACATACTCACTTTCTCTCTCTCTCTGTCTCTCTCTCTCTCTGAAGCACTGTAAAGTAGTCAGAAGCTGGAATGTGTTCTACCCTTGGAAGAAGTGATGAGGAGACCAGCATTGAGTGTCCCATCTTTTTGCAACTTTTAGCCCAAAGAGAGGTTCACTCACTCAGTACCATGTAGATGGGCTAGAACCTGAAACCCACAGTCTTACTGGCTTCAAGAACTGGAAGACGGAGTCCAGGACCACCCCAGCCACTGCAAAGGGAGAATAAATCCTGGGAGAGTAATAACCAGGAAGAGCCTTACATCCTATACATAAGCTCATCCTTTATCTCCTGGTGACTGCCAAACCTTGGACGCATGGGGCATAATCCAAGTATCTCAGCTATGGGTAGAAGGCCTGATCAGAACACTGCAGGGAGAAGAGAAGGTGGAGGTTGAATATGGACAGGTTAAGTGCCTCTAAAGTACAGAAGCATTTACATGACAATTTAAAACTCTTGGAGGATCACAATGGAGTCAAATGACTTTAAAACACAGTACTCAAAGTGTTTAGAACACAATCTAACACTATGAGAAATGCAAAGAAATAAGAAAATGTGACTTACAGTCTTTAAAAGAGGTGTTCAGCAGAATTCAGCTTCAAGGACGATGAATTTTGGCAACCTAATAGGAAAGGGGAAGTAAGCTGATGAAGAAGGTATTCAGGCTGAGGGAGCACCTGTTTGAGGAGGTGAATGTTCTAGGGAGGGATTATCACTCACAAGCATAAGTTCCATGAGCAACTGCAAAGGTTTAGCTCCATGTGGTCTTTTAAGTACATTTGAGTCTCTGTTTTGTAGGCAGCATCCCTCAGAGCACGAGTCTCTCCCATTCACGTTGCTTGGCTCCCAGCCCTGGTCAACCTCCTTCCATAATTCAAACATCAACGTTGATGGAGAGTCTGGGCTATATTTCCTTCATGCTGTTGCCACGATGGCCCTGTGGCAAGTTCATCCATCCGAAGAAACTTCCTGCTGAGAACTTCTTGCCAAATCATTAGTTTTGGAATCTTATCCATCACGAATGGCACAACCAATAAAAATGCTTCCTGGTTTTTCACCCACACTGATTGGCCAGATGGCAAGCATATAGTGTCTAGTATGAACAATGTGGAATCTGTGGAATGTTTGTCTCTAGAGCTGGCAAGGCAGAAGGATGCTCGCCATTGCTAAATGTAGGTAATTCTCAGAGATTTGATTTTGTGTTTCATCTTAACCACCAACTCCTCATCAGCTGAGGAAAGCACCCCTGTGCTCTGGTCTTTTCTCATATCCTATCATTTTTGAGCTCTCACTTAGTGTAGTTCCATGGATTTCATAGTATCCCTACCTTCTTCTAAGTGTAGCTGGACTTCATATTTAATAATTATTAAATAAAAGCTAAACAAGAGACAACATACCCACCTCTCGTTATGGTCAGTCCTCTCACTGTTTCAAACACAGAGGTACAACAGCACAAACAAGAGTGTTAAGGCAAAATTCTTCCTGGTCACTGTAATCATGGCCAACTTCTACTCACCGCATCCCGAAAGTTAAGGTCGGTCTGCCATTGGATGTGCCCATGTGACCTGTGCTTTCCTCAAATTGCTTTTCTCTTTCTAAAATGTCTCTTCCAGGAAATACATGCAGCCAGGTATGGTGCTAACTCCTGACATCTGGTAGTGTGTATGATCTCAGTGGACAGGTTCTTTGTAGTTGACTACAGCACAGACCTAAGAACCTCAACACACTTGAGATGTCCATGAGGTTCTTAGTAAGCAGCTTCCTTTATGCACTAGAAAACTTTGACTGCAAACATGAGAACCAGTTTCAAATATTTAAAAGACTAGAGGAAGAAGGAATAATGTTTTTCTGTGTCACCAAAGAGGGCAAAGCTAAGAACAAATGGTAGAATTTTGGTGGGGCAAATTTCAGCTTCTTTTAAAGGAGAAATTTCCTAACTCTCAGAACTTAAGTGGCAAGGAGCTACTACACCACAGGGTCTGTGGTAAAATGACCACCTAACATGTGGTCAGGAAGAGGGTACTACAGTGGGGCCGTGCTTGGAGCAGCAAACTTCTGAGGCACAGAAATTTACAAATTTACCTCCTGCTTCCCTGGATCTTACAGATGACTTACAGTTATCTGCATGAAAGACAATGGATGCACCAGGGATATAGCTCAACATCACAGCATCTGCCTGGCAAGCACAAGGAACTGAGTTCGATTCCCAGTACAAAAAAAAAAATAAAGACAATGGATGAATTCTCACTAGCTTGTTCTCAGCCAGTCTTCAAAACTCAATCCTGTTATCCATGCATGATTAAAAGATCCTTGATCATAACCATTTAGAATCCCAATAGAGCTGATATTTCTTCTCATGGATTTATAGTTTTATTATTTTTCTCTGTGATTCTTAGAGCTACATTTTTTATTTCAATGCATTAGGTCTTATGAGAAAGGTATGCATGCTAGTGTGACATTTCTATTTTTGATTTTTAAGCAACTTCAAAAGAGAAGCTCATTATGCAAAGTTTATGATCAAAATCCTTTGTTTTGCAATTAATTCCCCATATCTTTCATTTCCTCCATGGAATAGTAAGAATACATGATTACTGGAGAACTTTGGGATGAATCATGCTCTCTTAGGTATTTTTAATATTTGCCCACCCTTCTGCTTGACTCCAAATGTCATGCCTAAACATGTGTGCCAGCTTTATCCTGAGACTTTGCCTGCAGGATAAACAGACCATTGCTTATCTTTGTAGGTTGTCCAGGTTTGCAGCAGAGCAAGTGGGGTCTTTGAGTGGTGATTTGATTTTATTGTTTTATTCCTACTGGAAGATGTGACAATTAGTGTCTTACAAATAGAATGAAGAAGAAACTAATGATTTTTACTATAAAATGACCTCATGCAAAGTTTGCCTCTATGGTTTCCAAGTTCGACCTTTGTAGGGCTCCTCCTTCAAAGTCTACTAGACTAGAAATGAGGAGGACTACTGCTCACCAAGCTGTGATCCTGGATTAGTTACGTAAACTGCTTGAATCTCATTGATAAAATAAGATGTGACTTTCCACATGATGTTTCCCCCCACCTATTTCATTTCCAACATTACATCATTCAAATTTTCAAGCTGTTTCCCGAGGTCATTATATTTTATTATTCCCTTTGCTTTTGTCATCATGTAGAAGATATTGCTGATGAGCTTAGCGTCTTTATTCCTGTTCTGTGAAATTGTACACATATTCGTACCTAGTTTTCTATTTTCAATTCCTTGTTGAATGAAGACCAGTTCATGTAATTTGTGGGTTCTGCAATGTGAACAGAATGGTAGATGTAGCTTCCAGGATTAAGTGATGATTCTTCACTTCTCTCCATCCTGCTGCTCTGCCTGGCTTGGGTTTCTGAGGGAAGTCTCATGGAGCAAACCCTTCCACCTGCAAGCAGTGCATATGCATCACAAATACATCTTTGTGTTCAAAACACCAAGATCAGAGGATTATTTCTCCCTGAAGCATAACCTAACCTATTTTGACTGGTATGATTCCTTCATTCATTTCAATGAATTATTGACTAGTAGCATTTGAGGAAATTTACTAATTGTCACTTAGGTGACAATTGACAGATAAAACACATCTCTGACTTTCAAATATTTTAAAGCCATCTGAACTAAACAAACTGTTGGCCCCAATTAGTATCATTTTTCATTTTTCCATAGAACGTTTTTTCAACACATTTGAGTCAATAGTGACTTGTACAGGACCACCTATATTCTTAAAATATAAACAAGTGTCCATGAAGACAATTGTGAGAATGAAACAAACCACTATGCAGGTTGGGAATATTTTTGCTGTTATTGTTCCTGTTTTTATACATGGCTTTGGAATGGAAAAGCATTTGCTGCAATGAACTGATTCACTTTGAAGGGGAAAGCCCTGGTGCTGATGTAAATTTACCAAAATGACACATAAGTTCTCCACATTAGCTATTTAAGATAACTCCCTTGAAAGCAAGATTTGGAAATGTACAGGCTAGAAGAAAGGAGAGTTTTTGACATTTGCTAATGGCTGCGTTACTGCGGGCACTCTCCTGAGATGCTTTTCTCTTCTGGCTCCACCTGCTCTCCCTGTGTGGTCTCACTGTCCCTTCAGTTTCTAATAAAGGGACCCAGTAAAGAGGAATGAAGGATTCCTGGCTGGCCTTGGGCGAATGCAGCACAGGAGGGTGTATGCCCAGCTGAGCACAGGGCCAGCCATGGGGTATTTGTCTTGAATGCACTGAGCATTCCCAGGTGGGATCAGGAGGGCAAGTGTGGAAGACAAATGTCTCAGGCAGAAAAAGGAGAGACCTAAGTCTGTCAGGGAACAAAAGTAGATTTGAAAGCCAAAGGGGAAATCAAATCAGGGCACCAGAGTAGCTGAGACTAAGATCCAGCTACAGAGACTCTGGAGTGTCCCATAACACAGACGGTGACTTTTCCGCTGGCTTTTCTGCTGGCTGGTTCCTGCTGCAATATCTGCCTCAGTGTGTCTCTGCAGCACAGCATAGTTCTTGTGTAACTCAGCTTCCACTTTGTGATCTGAAGCCTGACCTCTAGCCTGAGCTCAAGGCCTGGGTTTCCACACTCCTTGTGCCTCCCAGCCCGGCCCCCTTCCATTCCTCTTGGCTCAGTGGACATCATTGTAAGCCCAATTCCAATCCCCAGCGGCTGCTCTCCCTCCCTTTCCAAATTGAATCAATCACCTATCATGGTTGTCTTACTTGAGAAATGCCTATAGAGTCAGAGTCTCCCTTTGGCCGCTGTCCCTGGTGGGTTTTCCTGACCCATGCTTTCCCTACTCTGTGTCATCAGGTATCCAGCAGGAGCGGGCCTCTTAGAGAGCAAACGGTTGTGTTGGGATGGGCGGAGGACAGGTGGGGGAAGAGCGGGGTTGTGCTTTTCTAAAGAACCAATGAGCCCCTGAGAAGTTAGCACAGAGGGATTGGGCATTAACAGGTATGGAGAGCTGTGGTCACGTGAGGTCCTTTCTTCCCAGGAGCCATGACAAGGGAGCCATCCTCCCCAGGGTGGAAGTCTTCTGTGTCCTGATACACTGCAAGTTAGATGTCTTTGCATCCTAACTGCCTTGGCCCAGTGGTGTGAGACCAAGGGAGACATTGAAGCGCTCCTCTCCAAGAGCTCATTGCTATCTGTGAACCCTCCACATCCTGGAACAGTTGATGCCAGAATAGTTGCTCATTTCAATAAAGACCACACCTCCATCCCACAGGGGGGTAGTCTTGTTGGATCTGCACACTTGGAGGAAATACAGTGTACTCAGTACCTCTGGAAATGACACAGGAAGGGAGACTGGGGCAGGAAATTGGATAAACAGGGAAGGCTTTGGTGCCCTTGATTATCAAAGGCCAGGTATATGCCAGGGGCACCTGGTGTTTCTACACCAGCATGGTATTCAGTCTGATAATGGGTGAAGTCGAGCACTCAAATCATCCAGGCACAGTGACTGCATGTGAATGCAGTAGGATGGTTTTCGGTTTACTGCTCCTACAGCCCTGTACTTCATCTAATTTAATACTCCCAAAAGGAAGCAGAGGTACAAAGAGATTAGATCAGCAGTTCTCAAGCCATCCTAAAATTTACTCAGAATCCCACAGAGCTTTGGTTTATGTGGATTATTTCTATCAATATTTATCATATTAGAAATGGAAGCATAAACATTTAAAACACGAGAATGAACAATCATACATCCAATGAGCTGTCAGATGGATGTCACTCACATCTTGTAGCCACTGAAAAACACATGTAGCTCTTACAGGGTCTCAGGGACCCTCACAGGAACCTAATGATACTTTAAGAACCACTAGATTGAACAACTTTTCTGAGGTGACATGGCTTGCTAAGTGTGAAACTGGCATTGAAATATAGATCTATGTGGAACTAGAGCCAATCTTCCTTTCACTTCT